AGCAGCATATATGAGGCGCTGGAAGAGCAGCTGAACGCAAACAAAGGAAAGATGAGGGACGTACCTGCGGCGGGGGGGTGGGGAGGCGGAGCGCCTCCTCCGCGGGGGGGAGGGTGAGCGGTGACGGCGGCCCGGCGGGGAAGGCGTGCGTCTCCTCCTGGGCAGCGGAGGCACAAAGCAGCATGACGAATATGCGACACGGCAGCCTAGCTGGAGGTTCGCTGTGGGAAGTACGTCTAAGCCCTACGGCATCCCCAAGGCCGTGACCCAGAGTGGCCTTTTGGGTCCCCCTTCATACCTGGGGGAGGCGTCCCTGTGCCGGCGGCGGGGCGAGGCTGGGGAGGCTGTGCGGCGCCTCTTAATCTCGCCATTCCTGGCAGCGGGTGTAGGGCCTGCGCTCTGCCTCTTTGGCCCTTCATCCTCAGAGGATGAGGAGGACCCAGTGTCTGGAAAAAAAAGTAAATCGAGGGAGGGGGGCAGGTCAAGCAAAGGTGCCTTTTCACAGTGAGGGCATAGAGCAGAATAAGAAAAGGGAAAAAAATAAAAAAAAAAACACACAGACACCGAGGTAAGCTAACATGTCAGGAGAGGACAGGAGCCGAGCGAGACGATGGGCCAGACCACTTCACAAACCACAGGGGGAGACGCCGGGCAAGACCAATGAGGACGAAAAGTTAGTTCAGAATGGGTGTGTGCAGGGAAGGTGGAGTACTGAGATAAAAGGGTCGTAACCTGAGGAAGACTGCTGATTCTGCCTGCGATACTGACGTCGCTGCTGCACAGAATCTGCTGTAGCCCCCTTCCCACCTTTATCATCCTCTGAAACGCAAAGGAGGTGTGGCTTTTCAGTGCTCGGGAAACACGACGAGACGCAGACGCACAGACAACACCGAGTGCAAACAAAGTGCCCGTCAGAGCGCCGGGGTAAAGCTACGCTGGGCCTCCGCCATCAAAGGCCACCTCTGCTTTCTTTGAGGAGTGCCGCCCATTTACGCCAACACGGCTAACCAGGCAGAGACGCCCTCTAGTGGAGGTCACGCCAGCACGCACTCAACAGCCACCC